TGACATAAAATGTACTTAAGTAATAAAAGTAAAAGTACTGAGTAAAAATTAGAGGCTAGACTTCCCAAAATGACATTTATGGGAGTTGATACCCTCAAAAAATGTTTTTTCTAAAGGCAAAAATTGTTTTATTGTCAAATAAAAATGTTAATGTTATTAGTTATTAGTGGTACTGCATTTTAATTTTAGAAAGCGCAAATCTGCTTATGAATTATAAAAATTAGTAAGACCGCTAGAGTGCAAATGAAATATTTAAGTCCGCTGTTAGCGGATATGCGCTTTAGCGGGCTGGTGCCCACCACTGTTGTCTACTATTCCAAGTCTAAATTCAGGTTACCAGAGCGATCTGTCACTTACCCCAAAGTTAGTCAGCAGTGGTGCATGTGTGTAGGTCAGCATGGTGTAGCTGGGGCACAGAGTCTGCATGTACACATCAGCAGTGAGGGTGGGAGTGGCTGGGTAAGCCAGAGTCTGGGGACTGGAGTTCTGCTGGTTGCAGTCAGGAGAGGACCAGTGCACCACAGAAGGCTGTAACCCAGAACTGGTGACAGAGGGGGCGGCTTTCCATCCTCCACACTGCAGCCCTGCATCACCAGCTGCAGCTGACTGTTCAGCTGCTGAACCAGCTGACACCTCGGAGCCAAAGGCACCTGAACATCAAACCACATTTTGAGAGGAGATACAAAGATATTAACATACTTTATTTCAATTAATGGTAGTAATACACATAATACAACCTGGTATGTACCTGGCACGTACAAGGGGTCTCATTTATAAAGGATTGCGTAGAAACCACACTAAAAGTGAACGTACGTCCAAAAGGCGGAAATGGCGTACGCCAAAAAAAATTCAGATTTATAAAACCATGCGTACGCATGTTTCTGCGCATCTTTCCTTTATAAATTACAGCCGCACGTCAGAGTTTGAACACGAGGTCCTCCTCAGGTTCTACCCGCTACACGCCCACACTCAACCATAAACAGTCAATGTAAAGTACCTCATGAATGTTAAGATGTATTTAAATCAGTCAGCTGATCAGTGATTGGTTCAGACACGCTCCTTCATGTGTCTGGAGGATGACAGGTGCTGACTGACAGCTGCTCACCTGAACAGAATGTCTGTAACTGACACAGATTTTCCTTCATTTTGCTTTAGAGTAATCTAATGATTTTTATTTAAAAAACTCAGCTTCAAATTAATTTTCCATCAGAGCCTGCAGGATGATAAAACAATAAAAATAAAATTAAATAATTCAGATAAAATTAGAAATAAGTTCACCGCTCTTCTCCTCGTCCTCCCCGCGCGCACACACACGCGCACACACACACACACACACACACACACACACGCACACTTCC